AAAAAAAAAAAACACAGCCCACTTTGTGATTTGCTTTAACTATCCAGTATCCATGCATTATTCAAATATATGTGGTCTTCTGTTAAAGATTTCCCAATATCCAATGAGATCCTGCTGGATAAACTACAAAACATATCTGTATTTGGATTAATTAATTTTTGCAAGTGTGGTGACATAATTAGCATGTGTATGAAAGCTACATGAATCTACCAGACGTACCGTATCTGGTTGCATTCTTGGCCTAAAGGAAAGAGAGCACCAAAAACTGTAAACCAGTTCTCCCTCCTGAAAACAGTTAAAGCCTCAGGCACTTTTACAGAGTTCAACAAAATAAAAAGTGTTCCAAACGAGGGTTTGAGCTGAAAAAGATGAGGTGTCACGATGAGGAAAGCTCTCACTGTGACATTCTGTCTATGAAATTTTAAGATGCTATGTCCAAAAATGGTATTAACGTTGAATCTTTAATTTTTTTGAAAATTGAAATAAATTTAATACTAATAAAAACAGTTGAGATCCGACTCAATTTTGCTGTATTATATGGGCAATTTATTTCTCAATAAACAAATTGTTCAAAAAAATAAATAAAAACAGTCTGTGATGCTGTGCTGATATTGTGAACTTGAAAGGGAAGGAAACAATTCTTTTAAAAGAGAATCAAGATATATTGTGAAAATATTTAAAGAGATCAAACTGAACTGAATCAAGAATAGTAAGAGATATTTCCATGAGACCTCATGACTTTCAACTTTTCATTTTATCAAACTTATATTACACTTCTTTATGAAATCAGGTGTAGGTGTATAATGACATCTAGGGGACAATTTGAGTAGTTATCAAACACAATGCAAAACTTCAAAAACAGAAACACTAGCGTGATTTACAATACAATAATCAATATTTTAACAGTTAACTCTACATTAACGTGTACATTTAGGCCTATTATCGGATATAATTTTTTGATGCAGATTATCAGAATACTAATAATAGATAAATACAATATGTAGACCATCACTTCATCCACATGTATTAAGATCTAAGGTAAGATCTAAATGTCTGAGACTGAGAAGGAATATTCTTCATAAAATTTGCTTAAAAACATCAGCATCTCAAATACATGCGATATTTCACTAATCTGAAAATAAAACTGAACATACATATGACAGCAACAAACGATGTGTTGTCTCTCTTACTGGAATCTGAGTTTTATGTACCTCCCTTTTACTCTCTGATTGGTCCTTTGTGTCTTTTTCTTTTCTGAGATTGGATGGCTTACATCGGAGTCTTGCGGTGTCCGAGCTTGTTCTCTTGGCCGACAGGTACAAATCTCACTGTGGCAGAACACCAAAAAAACTGCCAATATGCAGAGTCTGTTTCTTAGTTAGTCAAAAAAAACAAAAAATACACACAAAAAAAAATCATTGTAACATTACCGTTTGATTTTTATGTTTTTAACTGGAAATAGCTTTAAAAAAAAAAAGGAGGGGGAGGGGGGGTAATTTCTCTTTTGTATTTATTTTTGTTTTATTTTTCATGAAATTTGTTTCAACAAAAACACCTTCAAATACAAACCTTTGCATGAAGCATTTCAAACATTGAGAAATGTTTCAATTAAAAAGAAAAACGCTGTGTTTCGCATCTCTACGCTGTGTTTCGCTCACTGGAATCTGACTGAATTAGCACAGGTTTGTGTTCTTCCTGTTTGCTTTCTGATTGGTCCTTTAAGTCCGTTCGCTTTTCTGAGATTGGGTGTTCTGTGTCCGAGTCTTCATCAGATTCTTCCTCGTCATTGCCCTCTCCGAGCTTGTTCTCTTGGCCCACTGGCACAGCTCCCTTCCTCTGTGGCAGAACGGTAAAGAAAGCTTCCTGCCAGTCTCGTTTCTCCAGGAATGCTAGAATGATCTCAAAAACTGCAGCAAGGGGGGGAAATGATTGATTAATTTCTACCAGGAAACTTAGCGTATTACAGAAGAATGGATATCTAGAGAGAGAATCTATGGAAGAGAATCTCACCGTGATTGACAGCCAGCACCTTGCGGCTATTCATCTTGACAAAACTGCCCAGCGGAAGCTGAGCATGAGCAATGCCAAGCTCTTGGGCTCGATCAAATGTGATTCCCTGTAACAGAGCATTTGAATTCCCCAAAACCAAGAGCTTTGGTGAAGCTTTTAATGACCTCAAGGTAAAAAAGTGTCACCCTATATTAAGCTCAGAATAAAAATTTTATCTCCTTGCAGGCAGAGCATTATTACCTTATTTACCCCTAAAAAGTACACATTAATACCTTTTAAAATTGTTTCTCCCCAGTGACAGTGTTGTATCTTTTTTTTTTTTTT